GAGCTGAAAGCTTAATCTTATGATTGGGAGACAGCTGCGAAGCACAGTGATGATCACAATAGGAATCAAAGAATGTCAATAAAACGTCGGATGTTATTTGTTTATGTTTTTAATCATGCTTTATCTTGTTCAGGGTCACAAAACATTACCAGATACCCGAAACACATGTTTAAATAAATTTTGGGTCATTTTTAAGTGTTTTTCTGTGTAAAAAAATATAAATATTTCCAGCCTTCTATAGACACCCTCCAAAAACGGGGCAGCAGTAGCTCAGGTGGTAGAGCGGGTTGCCTCATGATCGGAGGGTCATGGGTTCGAATCCAGCTCCCGCCAGGGGTATCCTGCTGTTGTGTCCTTGGGCAAGACACTTCACCCAACTTGCCTGTGTTAGTGGTGGTCAGAGGGGCCGACGGCACCAAATGGCAGCCTCGCCTCTGTCAGACCTCCCCAGGACGGCTGTGGCTACATGTAGCTTACCATCACTAGCAGTGTGTGAATGTGAGAGTGTGTGAAAGCGTCTTTGGGTGTCTAGAAAAGCGCTATATAAGTTCGATACATTATTGAACCGTCACCTTATCGTCACCTTATCGTGGTGGAGGAGTTTGAGTGCCCTAATGATCCTAGGAGCTATGTTGTCTGGGGCACTTAGTGCCCCTGGTAGGGTCTCCCATGACAAATTGGTCTTAGGTGAAGGGTGAGACAAAGAACGGTTCGAAGGATCTTTCATGGCGGTTAAAACGAAGAGTCGGAGTACCCGGCCCGGAGGGTTACCGGGGTCCCACCCTGGAGCCAGGCCTGGGGTTGGGGCCCGTGAGCGAGCGCCTGGTGGCCGGGCTTTCGCCCATGGGGCCCGGCCGGGCCCAGCCCGAACCGGATACATGGGCTCGTCCAACTGTGGACCCACCACCCGCAGGAGGAACATGAAGGGTCCGGTGCAATGCGAATCGGGTGGCAGACCAAGGCGGGAGCCTTGGCGGTCCAATCCCCGGACAAGAAAACTAGTTTTTGGGACATGGAACGTCACCTCGCTGGCGGGGAAGGAGCCGGAGCTTGTGGCAGAGGTTGAGCGGTACCGGCTAGATATAGTCGGACTCACCTCGACACATTGCATTGGCTCTGGAACCCGAGACCTGGAAAGGGGTTGGACACTCTACTTTGCTGGAGTTGCTCCGGGTGAGAGGCGGAGGGCTGGGGTTGGCTTTTTGTTAGCCCCGAGACTCTCTGCCTGTGTGTTGGGGTTTACCCCGGGGGACAAGAGGGTAGCTTCCTTGCGCCTTCGGGTCGGGGAACGGGTCCTGACTGTTGTTTGTGCTTATGGGCCAAATATCAGTTCAAAGTACCCACCCTTTTTGGAGTCCCTGGGACGAGTGCTAGATAGTGCTCCATCAGGGGACTCCATTGTCCTGCTGGGGGACTTCAATGCTCACGTGGGCAATGACAGCTTGACCTGGAGGGGTGTGATTGGGAGGAACGGCCCACCTAATCTGAACTCGAGCGGTGTTTTGTTATTGGACTTCTGTGCAAGCCGCAGTTTGGCCATAACGAACACCATGTTCGAACATAAGGATGCCCACCGGTACACTTGGTACCAGGGCAGCCTAGGTCACAGATCGATGATAGATTTTGTAGTCGTATCATCTGACCTGCGGCCGTATGTTTTGGACACCCGAGTGAAGAGAGGGGCGGAGCTGTCAACTGATCACCACCTGGTGGTGAGTTGGATCAGATGGCAAGGGAACATGCCGCGTAGACCTGGCAGACCCAAACGCATAGTGAGGGTCTGCTGGGAACGCCTGGCAGAAGAACCTGTCAAGACGGTCTTCAACTCCCACCTCCGGCAGAGCTTTGACCACGTCCCGAGAGCAGTGGGGGACATTGAGTCCGAGTGAGCCTTGTTCCACTCTGCGATTGTCGAGGCGGCTGTTGCTAGCTGTGGTCGTAAGGTGGCCGGTGCCAGTCGTGGTGGCAACCCCCGTACCCGCTGGTGGACACCAGAGGTTCGGGGAGCCGTCAGGCTGAAGAAGGAGGCCTACAGGGCGTGGCTGGTCTGTGGGTCTCCGGAGGCAGCAGACAGGTACCGGATAGCCAAGCGGGGTGCAGCAGTGGCAGTTGCCGAGGCAAAATCTCGGGCGTGGGAGGAGTTTGGTGAGGCCATGGAGAAAGACTATCGATCGGCTCCAAAGAGGTTCAGGCAAACTGTCCGGCGCCTCAGGAGAGGAAGGCAGCAACTCGCTCACACTGTTTACAGTGGGGATGGGGAGCTGCTGACGTCAACTGAGGCTATAGTCGGACGGTGGAAGGAATACTTTGAGGAGCTCCTCAATCCCACCAATGCGCATTCCGAGGAGGAACCAGAGCTGGGAGGCCTGGGGATGGACTGTCCGATCTCGGGGGCAGAAGTTGCTGAGGTAGTCAAACAACTACACAGCGGCGGAGCCCCAGGGGCGGATGAGGTTCGTCCTGGGTATCTTAAGGCTATGGATGTTGTAGGGCTGTCATGGTTGACACGTCTCTACAACATTGCGTGGTCATCGGGGGCAGTTCCTAGGGAGTGGCAGACCAGGGTGGTGGTCCCCATCTTTAAGAAGGGTGACCTGAGGGTGTGTTCCAACTATAGGGGGATCACACTCCTCAGCCTCCCTGGAAAGGTCTACTCCAAGGTACTGGAGAGGAGGGTCCGATCGATAGTTGAATCTCAGATAGAGGAGGAGCAATGTGGTTTTCGTCCTGGCCGTGGAACTGTGGACCAGCTCTATACCCTTGCAAGGGTGATGGAGGGGGCATGGGAGTTTGCCCAACCAATCCACATGTGCTTTGTGGATTTGGAGAAGGCTTATGACCGTGTCCCCAGGGGCACCCTGTGGGGGACGCTCCAGGAGTATGGGGTGGGTGGCTTTCTGTTAAGGGCCATTCAGTCCCTTTACCAGAGGAGCGTGAGTTTGGTCCGCATAGCCGGTAGTAAGTCGGACCTGTTCCCAGTGAGGGTTGGACTCCGCCAGGGCTGCCCTTTGTCACCGGTTCTGTTCATCACTTTTATGGACAGAATTTCTAGACGCAGCCGTGGTGTGGAGTGTGTCGAGTTTGGTGGCAGGAGAATCTCGTCTCTGCTTTTTGCGGATGATGTGGTCCTCCTAGCTTCATCCAGCTCTGACCTTCAGCTCTTGCTGGGTAGGTTCGCGGCCGAATGTGAAGCGGCTGGGATGAGGATCAGCACCTCCAAATCTGAGACCATGGTTCTCGACCGGAAAAGGGTGGCTTGCCACCTCCGGGTCGGGGGAGAGGTCCTACCTCAAGTGGAGGAGTTTAAGTATCTCGGGGTCTTGTTCACGAGCGAGGGTAGGAGGGATCGGGAGATCGACAGGCGGATTGGTTCGGCGTCTGCAGTGATGCGGACGCTGAGCCGATCTGTCGTGGGGAAGCGGGAGCTGAGCCAGAAAGCCAGGCTCTCGATTTACCGGTCGATCTACGTCCCAATCCTCACCTATGGTCATGAGCTTTGGGTAATGACCGAAAGAACGAGATCGCGGATACAAGCGGCCGAAATGAGTTTCCTCCGTAGGGTGGCCGGGCTCAGCCTTAGAGATAGGGTGAGGAGCTCGGACATTCGGGAGGGACTCGGAGTAGAACCGCTGCTCCTCCGGATCGAAAGGAGCCAGTTGAGGTGGTTTGGGCATCTGGTCAGGATGCCTCCTGGACGCCTCCCTGGGGAGGTGTTTCGGGCATGTCCTGCCGGCAGAAGGCCCCCGGGTCGACCCAGGACACGTTGGAGAGGTTACATCTCCAATCTGGTCCGGGAACGCCTTGGGGTCCTGCCGGAGGAGCTGGTGGACAAGGCCGGGGAGAGGACGGCCTGGAGCTCCCTAATTGGGATGCTGCCCCCGCGACCCGGACCCGGATAAGCGGAGGAAGACGAAGACGAAGACATTATTATTATTAAAAGAGCCTCTGTTTGGAGAAATAGTGTTTATGTCATTTTTGGACCAATGTGCTAACAGCTAGTGCGAAGACAGTCACTGCTGCCCATTTGAGCTCTCCCAAAGGCAATAGGCCAACCAATTAACTGGTGGAGAAGCAAACCAGTCCTGCTACATCTTGTTTGGAAGGTTCTTGTGCACGCTCCACGCGCTCTGGACATGCGTTAAAGTCCCGCCTCCTAGTTTGATTTACAACCACTGCTTTCACCACACAATCAGTTTATGCAAGATTTAAACATGAAACGGGAGACAGTCAACAATTCGGGACAGTGTCTCAATGGAAGTGCACCCTAACTACAGCATATCAGCCAATCGGGAAGGCAGCACATAGCTCTGTGCACAGAGCAGGGAAAGGTGAGCTGGATCAAATCAAGGGGAATTTGCTGTATTTTTGTTTGTAAAATATAACATTTCAAGTTACTGCATGGTTTCTATATTTTACCAGCGTGCTAATAGATAAATAAATAAATAAATCTCAAATTTTTGGGGTGCAAAGATTCAGGCTAGGCTAGGACCCAATCCCAATACTCGCAGAGTTGGAGGAAGTGCGCAGTAAGGCTTCCAGTGAGTGTTGCACAAGGGTGCAAGTAATTGCCGAATTGGCAAAAACATCTCACACCCCTCCTTTAAAGTTCTGATTTAATGGTCTCTCCTAGTTCTCCTTTGGAGAGAGAATCTGCACTTGATCCAAATTACACCAAACACTAGGTGATTGTTTTATTCAGCAACTAATTATAATTCACAATTTTTAACCATTGAGAAAATTAAATCGTTTGACGCTTAATGATGAGCCACTGCTTTTCCAGGTAATTAAAACAATCTGGAAAGTATTTTCACCAAATAAGACTTTACTCACGTGTCTGAGCCATCTCTCCCTAATAAACCATCTTTGTCAGTTACGACAGAGCGGCTGAAGGAGTGGGCGTGTCGGAAGAGCCACACTGCGCGAGACCGCCGCTGATTGGCTGGCGGGCTTAGCTGAAATGACCGTATAAATTGTGAACGTGCTGCTCGAGGCTCGTAGAAGCTTCGCGCAACCGACGTAAGAGGAAGATGAATGAGAAGCAGGCAAGAATCTGCTACATGACAGTCTGAGAAGCCGCTGATAAAAGAAAGGGGAGATTTATACCTTTGTGAGAGGCGGTCGAGCACGCGGACGGAGCCGGGTCACAAGGAAGTATCGGTGAGTAACGGTCGTTTATCACGCTCGCTTGCAGCCATGAGGGTGTGCGGCCCACCGGCTCCGCTTGGCGTCATCGGGTCAGATTATACAGCAGCTGAAGGCTGAGGGGATGTGAATGAAGCTCACGGCACCTAGGCGTGAGTCATGGGGTTTACCGGCCGGCTGGCTGGTGGGTGGGAGCCGGAGGAGTGGTCAGCTCACAGACCCATCCACCCAGCGGGACTCCTGCCAGGTTTCCTGCTAAATTTACACAAATGGTTCAGTTCATAGCCTTTCTTCGTCAAGGAATATTGTTGCAATACAAAGAGGGAATAGCCTACTTCTGGTTTATTTGTAAAAACAATTTAAAATAAATCACGATTTGTATCTAACTGCAGCAAGTTCACAATTTTAAAGCACAAAATTTGAAAGCACCAATAAATCATCAATAACTAATGATCACAACCGAATATGTTGTAAATAACAGTCCAGGTTTATGCCTCACGTATGAATGTGTTATATATGTTATTGTTCACTTATCTGAACCATGTTGGTGTGTGTAATCATATTTAAAGCAGCAATATATCTGTTTGTTTAAAAGGTTTTGTTAACATTTCCTAGAATTTCGACTGCTCATTATTTTCATTCTTGACATTTTTGTGATGAACTTTTACCGAAAAACTTCCAGTTAGTTTGGTTTTGTGTCTGTGTGCACTGTAGAGGCTGGAGTTACAGGAGATGAATGCTAAGGTCAGGGGTCAAAGGCAACACCCAACCTTCAAAGATGATGCTTCAGGATCATATTTGTTCAGCTGCTATTGCAACACAGGTCTTGTGTGGCGTTTTAGTGTATATTTGGCTTTTAAAAATTAAATGTACTTTGAGAAACAATCCAGTAAAAAACATAGAATTGCAGGTATTTTACTAGCTAAAATTTTCGAAGAACTTACAGAAAGGAGTATGTGTGTATAGAAGGAAACTGGAGTCCTAAGAAACTCCTTTTGTTGATCTTGTGTGGTCATAAATAAAATGTCATTAGCCGGCTGGCTGGTGCGGATGGGGCCGGCCAGCTGTGAGGTAGTTTTAGGTCAGCGCCAGAGCAGGTTTGAGGCTGAATCATGGAGAGAGTGCTACATAAAATGTGAGGCTTTGTTGCAAGTGAAAGGTTTGGAGTGTGACAATCTGTTGTGTTTTACCTCCTCCTGCTGCGGTGTGTTTGACTAAAATATTAACATCTTCCACCAACAGCAAACAAATTCGTTTTTCCTAGAAGTGCTGGAGTGGTGATTCTCACTAGCACTAGACCAGGAGCGTCTTCCAGAGATGATGCACTAAGTTCAATAATTACATAATAAAATCAGGAGCAATAATAAATCTGTTCTACCTCCAGCATCATGTTTGGCACTCCTCCTAAGGGTTCGATGAACTGAGTGCTTAAAACATCACGTTGGTGAAATCAATAACCCAGAAGTCATGATCTTGGAACGCTCAAGGCTCTTTTTGTCTAATGGCTTCCTGCGAGGTCACAGAGCAGATAAGACCCAAGGAAACTGGATCAGAAGTTAATCAGCTATAAAACACAAAGTTGGCTTAATTAGTAGCTTTGAGATAATTTTGCTGCACTTTACATATTTTCATAGTTGAACTGTAGGTTTGTAGTTCAGTTTTCCTGTGGTTTTCTTTATCACAAGAATATTCTCACTGAGGGATGTTCTTTTATATCCGGATATTTTCACATTAATCCAGTCTTTCTCCTCAGAGGAAGTCGACACATGCATAAGTTTTAAATTGCAAAAAAAAAAGCAACTTGCATAACAGGGATCTGGTGTGTTGTGTTTGTGCACACCTTCCCATACGTTCTTCCTGTTTGAGCAAAAGCATTAATGCTGCGTCATGGTTCTGTTAAAGAACAACCTGATGGATGGCCTTTGACTCAATAAATAAATGCTATTTGGGTCATTTAGAATTTTTTTAAGATCAGCAAAATTTAGAAACTGTAAAAAGAGATGAGTATCTGTTTAAAAATAAAGCACATATACCAGGTATCTGAGAGAGAACCTGTTTTACAGGTATATTCTATTTGAGTGGAGAAATAATTTGCATATCTGCAGATTAAATCTGATGACATCCAGAAATAAAAGATAAGGCAGAGAAATGCAACAAACATCATTTTAATTAGCTTTTTTCTTAGAATATCCATTAAAAATAGCATTTCCGTATTTTCCGGACTATAAGCCGCTACTTTTTTCCCAAGCTTTGAACCATGCGACTTATAATGAGGTGCGGCTTTACTGAAGATTTTCCTTCACCTGCCAGGGGGCGCTTTAGCAGAAAGTGAAACAGGTGGAAGTCAAAAGTGGAAATCGAAGAAAGTGCTCATTTTAATTTAGCACATGCAAGCAGCCGGCACGACGAAGAATTTCTTTCAAATCCATACCCCCTCATCATGGTAACTACACGTATGAGTATGATTTAAGTTGAAGGCCATCGATCTGGCAGTAAAGGAGGGAAACAGTGCTGCCGCACGTAAGCTTGGCATGAATGAATCCATGGTTCAGCGCTGGAGACGGCAGCAGGAAGAACTCATTCAGACCAGCTTCACCCAGGGATGATGACAGCAACACGGACAGTGACACTGACATCGCCACAGAAAAGGTGATGAAGCTCTTCTGAGGCTGTTCAACTCCGCCACTGAAGAAGAGGACTTTAATGGCTTTAGTGCGCAAGAGGAAGATGAGAGCGAATGACTTTTTCTGGTAGGCAAGTGTGTTTATTTACTAACCAGGCATGTTTTGTGTGCAGTTTTTATTTTCTAATCATCCAGGGCTTATTAATACTGTCAGCGCTGTTCTTTTCTTCTAAACATGCATGCAAATTACCTGTAATAACGTGTCAGTTCTGTTTTTATTTTATAACCATCCAGAAATATGAATGCTATCAGTGCTGTTTTCTTTTCTAAACTTGCAGACACGTTCACCCGTGTTTAAAATTTGTTTTGTTGAATTAAAACAACAATGAAAAACCTACGTGTAGCGTCTTTCTGTCTAATTATCTAATGTCATGGCCATACATGCGCTGTGCGCCAGAGACCTGCATGTGGCTGCTGTGCCGCGGCTTGAGTGTGTAGAAAACCTTTTTTTTTTGTTGGTGCGGCTTATATTGAGTTGCGCTCTATAGTACGGAAATGACGGTATTCCTTTTTTATATTTAACCTTGAATAGAAGGCACATCATGAGCCCAGAAGCTTCACACCAGTCAGATTTTTATCACCACAATTTTAATTTTTTTAAAGGATAAATTCAGAATAACAATCAATTTAGTAGTTGAATGACATCTTCATGCATTTATTTATGTTCATCCAAATTGAGGTTAAAATCTCCACCATGTTGTGATTTTGGAACAAGTCTTACAGTCCCGCCCACTCATCTGCACACTATTATGGTAGTTTTTAAGCTTCACATAATTATTTAGAAAAAATATATATCCATTTGAGAAATGAGAAAGATGTGAATCCATACCTGAAAATGGAAATCTAAAAGACTTTTTCTATTATTTAATCAGGGCATTGTCTAATTAGTTTACATGGAGGGGTGGGGCTTAAAACATGTACTGCAGCCAGCCACTAGGGGGTGTTTTGGTTCTTTTGGGCTTCGATTTTAACATTGTGCTCCCACATCTAGTTCTGCCCCCTAAGGTGTATCACGTTTCAGGTACAGTGTGTTTAATCAAGACAGGAATTTATGCGCTCATTAAGTGTCATCGTTTTTATTGTGCATGCATCTGGGCAGTGTACATATTTAGTTCATATTTCAGTTTGGTGCAAACGGCTGAAGCTGCATTTGGTCTTGTCTTGCATCAGGCGATGGCAGCCAGTGGTGGATGGTAAATGTTTAACACAGGGAAATATTCGCCTGTCGTGCAGGTCACGGATCTTGGACGATGACCAGCTTTGATTGGATTGATTGGTTTTGTGTTTTTGCAAGAGCGAGAATTTACGATGTCTCGAAGCCTCCTGATCTGAGTTCATCACCTGAGGATAAGAATAAGAACCTGTGTGTGAAAGGGAATTAAACACAGTTTACATGACTCATCGGTTGTTTTACTTGTGTGTGTGTGTGTGTGTGTGTGTGTGTGTGTGTGTGTGTGTGTGTGTGTGTGTGTGTGTGTGTGTGTGTGTGTGTGTGTGTGTGTGTGTGTGTGTGTGTGTGTGTGTGTGTGTGTGTGTGTGTGTGTGTGTGTGTGTGTGTGTGTGTGTGTGTGTGTGTGTGTGTGTGATGATTCCATGAAGCAGAGGATTTACAGTAAATACGAAGCTCAGATCATCTCCAGTTTGGTGCAGGAGCTGGTTCAGCATGCATTACTCAGACCTATTTTAACTAAGAATAAACATCTTTGTTGTAGAATAAACACTGGAAACAAAAGGCTCCTCTGACTCTTGAGAAGCTCTGCTGTAAATCTGGTGTTAGTCGAGCTTTTAGATGATCAGGAGTTCCACACAAAGCATAAAGGAAACTTTTGATCACAATAATTCCAGAAGGAAACTGTGTTACTAGGCCTGCACGTAGTCCTGTGTCATGTCTGAGTTCAGTAACCTCTGGATGTAAACCCCACTTGAGTCTGGGCTCGACGCCAGCCTCTCCGCCGAGCTTATGTAATGATTTTTATCTCTAGTGCCAACTCGCTCGTCCAGTCGTCTTCTCGCTTTCTCATTCCTTCATTCCTCTTTTTTGTTCCTCAGTCTTAACCTCGCATCTTTTCCTCTTTTTGTGGCCTTTTTTTTTCTTCCCATTTTCTCTCATCAGCTTTCTTCTCACATGTCTGAGTTCGTCTTTGTAAGCATGACTCGGCAGTTTCTCAAAAGCAACTGACACCGCTGCCCTGGGCTTGCCCTGCCTTGCATGACCGTGTGCATGAATGAGATCATGGCTGGCCTCATTTAGCAGCACATAAACCTCTCCGCCACCTAGAAAACATCCTACAGCTGCAGCTTTCACATGCAGGAGCAGAAACAGGAAATAAGTGACTGAGTAAATGACCCCTGAGTGGAAATGATGGCACCTCACTTTCACTTTTGTCTCGTTTAGAAACGTTGAAGCTCAGGGCTGTTTTTGAGCCTGAATCATAATCTGAATCTGGAGCTTGGATCATATTCTTTTCAGGGAAAATATAAAAGGGCATTATAGGATAACATCAAAGATGAACTGTTAGATAAGAGTCGATTGTCTGGTGTTTCTCTGCTCTTTTTTTAAAAATAAACTGAGGAAGAGGAGGAGCGCTTTGTGAAACCTGATCCGACTGCTGTGAAAGGTGGACGAAACCATCTGATCTGATGTGGGTCGGGGCAGCTTCTCCACTAATTCACATTTTCCTTTGTTTTAAATTTTAATTCGTGGCATTAATTTTGAGCAACAATGATGCGTGAGTCACACCAGGGTTTAAACTCTTAAGAATCTGTCAAAGAAAAAGGATATCGTGATTTAGACCCTTTCTATTCAAATACACACACACACACACACACACACACACACACACACACACACACACACACACACACACACACACACACACACACACACACACACACACACACACACACACACACACACACATTTCCTGTGGTTCAGTGTTGCTGTCATTTTAACATCTCTGTTTTTGTCGAGGTTACGCTGCTGCCTTTAACTTTGAGGTCAAATGAGGGTGTATGTGTGTGTGAGAGAGATAATTTGAAACTTTACTTTCTCACCATTATCAATAACTTTGTCATTACTTATTCACCTGAATGAGATCTAAGACCAGAATAACAGGAATAACTTGTAGAGATGCACGATAAATAGGCATCAATATCGGTATCGGCAGTTTGTCATTTTTTAACACATCGGTATCGATCCGATAAATAAAATTGGGCCGATATTAACAACCGAATTTTTTTTTTCCATCTTGTCTCCATTTGTCTTATCAGTTTCAGAGGGTGAGGGGGGTGATGTGTAATAGTTTAGTCATGTGACAGTGATTGTAATCATTTCAGAAGCGTAAATGTGTGTGGTGTGTGTACATAACGTAAATTCAGCTTTAATCATTTTCATTCTATACAAAATTTGCTGTAGAACTATTAATGTCAGCACATCGGTATTGGCAAATATCGGTTATTGGCCATAACAGTGATATCGAATATCAGTATCGGCACAAAATTTTCATATCGGTGCATCCCTAATTTTTTTTTCTCTTTGCAGTAAAATGGATCTTCGTGATAAAGAGAGGACACCTGGAGAGCCCTTGCCTATAGTTATCATTGGTAACACACACACACACACACACACACACACACACACACACACACACACACACACACACACACACACACACACACACACACACACACACACACGTTTTGTGACTTTTTACCTGCCATAGTGTAAGTGTGATCAGCTTTAAAGCCTACAAGATGCATGTTGGGATGGTTGCCAAGGGCAACAGCTCTCAAGATGAGCACAACTGTCTTCCTGTTGTGGATGTTTAAGTGTCTGACCTTGGCTTTTAGACTGAGACACACTCATCTCTGTAAAGAAAGTGGTTGGATGTAGGAGGAGTGTAAATAAACCCAGAGTAAATGAGACTTCATGAAAAATCATTAAAACAAATAAAAATGTACTTGAATTTATTTTATAACGCGAGCCATTAGAAGCGGGAGCAGTGAGGATGTCAGAGGGTTTTACTTCTCGTTATTTGCTCTGTGTGCCTGAAACTGCTGAGTCATTGGCTTAATGTGAAATCCATTCAAACCTGCTGCGTCATTCTCATGTCCAGTTTACTTCAATACCCCTCCGTCCCCCGTTACTTGGCTATAACCAGATGTACTGATTTATTTCCTGGTAGCTGAATGAGATTTAACTATTTTCTGTCCCCTAATTATTTTATGAGTTTAATTCAAACTTGTCTTCAGATCTGATATGAGTAAAGGAAACTTTGCATAAATTACCTTGGTCAGGTGTAATTACAGCAGCTAAGGTGTAGAAACACAGCGAGTGTAACCAGATCATTGTTTATTCTTGTAACTAGAACCGGCATCACAGTCTCACCAGGACTCACCTTTGTTTTATCCCTTTGTTTCCTAGGTAACGGCCCGTCAGGGATCTGCCTGTCATACCTGCTGTCGGGTCACACCCCCTACCTGTCACCCGAGGCCTGGCACCCGAACCCCCTGCTGAACAGCAAGTTGGCAGAGCAGCCTCACTTGTCGCTGCTGGAGCAGGTAAAACACACACACACACACACACACACACACACACACACACACACACACACACACACACACTGATCTTCTGTTCACTAAAATGTCAACTCTCCTGTTGTGGTGTCTATTTAGGATCTGGAATACCTGTGCGAGGGGCTGGAAGGGCGCTCATCCAATCCGGTGGCGGTGCTCTTTGATGCGCTGCTGCTGCCCGACAGCGACTTCGGATTGGACCACACATCTCCTTTGGAATGGCGACATGAGCCCGAGCGGGCCATTCCTCACCTGGTTCTGGGGAAGGGCCCACCTGGAGGAGCCTGGCATGTACGCATCTGAAATTCCTGATTATTAATTACACATTTCTGTAAATGTGAGGAAAATTGAGGTTTGGGAAATAAAACATCTGAAAGGAACTTCCACAAACTCAAAAAATGGGAAGAATGAAGTCCTGGATTCACACAGAACAAACTCATTTAGTCTCTCTCACTCAGAATAATCTAAATGGGCTTCTGTCGAGCCGTATTTAGAGCAAACATGAGCAGTGTTAAAGCAAATCAAAAATAGCTTCTCACACACAAACTTCAGATGGTGTTTTTAGAAAACATGTCTGAACTTCACTTTGTTCTTGTTTGCTCATTTTAGACTAAACTGCTTTTATCATAAGTTCACAACTTTTTATGCACAAAACTAACATGTTAAATGATATAAGTTTGATTTACTTATTTTGTAATAAATGTCAAAACTTCTGTGCAGAAAATTTCACATTTTTAACTTCTTGCATTTTTTTTGTGGACTTGCTGAGTCGGGAGTCTTCCGGCGAGATGAAGATAAAACACATCAGGCTGAGTTTAGCACAGATGCTTCATTTCTAGTAACTTAATTCCAACCTATCAGCCCCTCATTTGCACCCGCCGACCCTGACTCAAGGCCCTGCACAAGGGACTTTGCCTTCTCCTTTATGTCAATGTCTGCGGTGTACGAGCTTCGTTCCTTGCCCTGTTTATTGTTCGGCAGCGAACGCTTTTTCCGCTCCGTGCCTGTGTCACTGTAGCTTGTGTGAGTTCTTTCCACCTGGGTTCAGCCCTACTGATTATCATAGCTTAGCTGTTAACTATATTCGTGCTACAGCTGCTTTTGGTTCACGTGCTTCAACCTGAAGGATGCCTACTTTCACATTGTGACACCTGATTTGCACCACCCTCTGTCGGTTATCCGGGTTTCATAGAACCATAGGTACATACGTAACACTCATTCTGTGTGCTTCCTGCAGGCCATGGAGGGCTCCATGCTGACTCTGAGCCTGGCCAACTGGATGGAGCTTCCAGGGCTCAAGCTGAAGGACTGGATGAGAGAAAAACGCAGGTCTGACACTGATTTTTTTAAAAAAGTTCACAAAAAATGTCCTGGATTATAACATGTGCTGAAAACAAAATATGCTATTTTGATTTCGTGTTTTTATAATTAAAAAAATATTCATTCATAAATATAAAATAATTTATGAAATAAAAATGTGATTAGGAAATGTTCTGATGATGTGCTGCCAGAAGAATCCGTCAGTAATGGAAGCTGTGTTTGTTTATCCAATCAGCTGATTGCTGCCTGGTTTCCATAAAGTCAACATTTGTTTCCATAAAAAAACAATATGCCTCTTAGTTTTTATGCTCCTATTTTAATCTCATTTTCCTGATAATAATTTACCTAGAAAATAAATAATAATTTTTCTTTTTGTGTTTAAATGTGTTAAAAAGTTGTTTTTGTTCCAGAAATGTGAGAAATGACCGAGCCACTCCTGCTGAGATCGCCTCCTACTACCAACACTATGTTACCCAAATGTCACTGGAGCAGAGCTTTGCCTGTGGGACCACTGTTACCTCGGTAACCAGAGAGCCTGGAGATCAGAAGGGATTGCCGCCCTGCTGGAGAATACTGGGACTGCAGCGCAGGGAGGGAGAGGCGCTAGGAGGTACATAAAATCCAGATTTGTCTTAAATGTTTGATTGAAGTTTAGTTAAGAAGTCACGAACATTTTCCTCCTGCTTCTAGATGGTTCCACAGTTTCAGAGGAGGTTCCGTTCTCCCTGTTGGCCCACAATGTGGTTTTGGCAACAGGCACACACGACATCCCGGCCCGGCTCGGCGTGGAGGGGGAGTCCCTGCCCTTTGTATGCCACTCCTTCTGGGAGCTGGAGATGGCCATTTCCCGCGGCGAGCTAGACCAGTCGTCAGACCCAGTCCTTGTTGTGGGGGCAGGACTAACAGCGGCTGACGCTGTGCTGGCTGCCCACCATCTCAACACGCCTGTGTACCATGCTTTCAGACGCTCCGTCTCTGACCGTGGTCTCATCTTCAACCAGCTGCCTAAACTGCTCTACCCGGAGTACCACAAGGTGAGTCTTGTCCTCCATTTTCTGTGTTCTAAAGCCTGATCATCTTTGTTTCTACAGATCTAATCTCTGCCTTCTTCCCTTTTTCCACCAGGTTCATCAGATGATGACCCAGCAGCAGCACCAACCAATGCCTTCCACACCAGAACATGACCAGAACCCTCTCGTTACATCTTTCAGCAGATTTACACCCCCCTCCTCTTATCCAGGGTACCTGAGTTTCCCGTGCCACAGGGTTGCGGCGATCCGACCTGACCGAAAGTGCGTCCTAGTGTCAGACTCCGGAGAGGAGACAGTGGTCATAGTGTCCAAGGTGCTGGTTCTGATCGGTGCACACCCAAATCTTTCCTTCCTGAACAATAACGGACGTTCGTTAGGCATCAACCCAGATGAGCCCATCTCATGCCGGCGAAACCCAATTGATGTGGACCCGTTCACCAACAGGGTGCTGGCGGCGGATGGCCCGGGCTTGTACGCCATTGGCCCATTGGTTGGGGAGAACTTTGTTCGGTTCCTGAAAGGAGGAGCGCTGGCCATCGCTAGCGATCTTGCTAAGAGACAGAGCAAGGAAGGAGGGGATGCTGGGAGCATGGACAGGTGTTTGGACCGACAGGTGACCTGTCAGACAGAAGTTCTGGACTCGTAGCAGGAAACTGAAGGGAACTTAAACAAACCATCCTTCTCTGATCGAGACTAAAGCCGGAATTAGAGCGTTGCTGCTTGGGTGTTTCAGCACCATAAACCAGCTGCTGGAGTAAAGCTTGGTTTATGCTTGACACATTCACGTTCCGCTTGGTGATGCTGCTCGCGGATGGAACGCGCTTCACAACGTGCAGCGTTTATTGTTCATGCGGCTTGTCTCTGTGGTGAGCCAATATTCTCCCAAACTGTAGGGGGCAGCATGGAGCTCTACGGCATGCATCCAACACTACACCAATAGTAGAAGTAGAAATTACTGTTGTTTATAGTTGTTAATGAAAGTTGAGAGCCAATTCAGCTCTTTTAGAATTGGTGGAGTTCTTGTTTCCACCAGGATCACTGCTTTTCCGTTTGTTCCCCTTCCTTGCCTTCACACATTGGTCCCTCATGTTTTTCCAGCATTTTTTAACAGCATCCTCGTCTTTTCTGACAGTGCAAACTATTTCTCTCCAAGAATTATTAACAACATGTTGGTCACGGTGATCTTTGAGAGCCCAATCATACAAATGTCTGTATTTACAAACTCTGCCATAACTAGTTCTTGCCAGTCCGCCATGTTTTTCCGTGTTCGACCGTCTGCGTGGTTAGAAAATTCCCTAGGGCGTGGTTATTAAAATGACACAATTTTGCCGCGCAGAGCCGTGCGAACCTCGTGGACACATCAAGCATAAACCAACCTTAACCGGACCAGAACCAGTGAGCTTAACGTCCAGAACAAAGCTGGAGAAGGAAGTTGGGGAGGATTGCTGTGTTTGGGTAGAAACTGGTCTCTTAGTCTGGCTTTAAAAAGATCACTTTTGCATCAGAACATTTTAAAATAGATTTTTTAAAAGTCAGATTTACTGTTTTCGGATCTTTCTGACGAACATGGAGCTCCTTTTGATGACTGAACAAGTTTCTGATCATTAAGCTGCAGCAGCTGGTAAAAATCATTCAAACACAACCAGATCAAAGAGGAAATCACCTGGTTCTGACCCAGACATCTCCCATTACCAAGACAGCTGCCTTTTAAAACTAAATGTTTCCTAATTCCTGTTTTTATGTTTGTATTATTTTACATTTTGTAGAACTTTGGTCTTTTTTTTATTTTTTACTTAATTGGATTTTAATCTCCTGTAATTTAACTCAACTGGTCTTTTTTTGTAACTTTAATTTCTATTAAATTATTAATTTACTAAAAAAACTATATAATGATACCTTTTACGTTTTAAGGGTCCAATTTAAGTTTAACTATTAAAGTATTTAAAACTTGGCATGATGGTGTTTTAATAAATTAAATGTTTTAATGTAAATTATTGATGATGATTCATCCAAATTTTGATAGGATGAATCTTCAGATAATTTTTTTACCAAGTACAACTAACTTTTTAAGATAATAAATTATTTTAAAACACATTTATGCAGACAAGTTTAAATGTGAAACTTTGCCCGGATGTATCCAACACGTTTCCATCTAGCAAACTGCTAATGATAGATTTTCAAAATCTAAGAACAACTTATAAATAAATTGACCCGACTTGGTGGTGGTCAGAGGTACCGATGGCACGAATAACCGCCTCACCTGTCAGACCGCCCCAGGGTGTCTGTGGCTACGTAGTATCATACCATCACACGCAGCGTGCCAATGTGTGAGTGCATGAATAATGGAAAGTGCTTTCAGTGCCTAAAAAAGCGCTATATGATTCAAATCCATTATTATTAATTTTAAATATCACTATTGCAGAGCGATGCCATGTCACCAGGTTTTTTATTTCTCAACCACAGAAAAAAATCTTTTTACTTCAAATGATTTATAAATCGTGTGGTTTCATAATTAACTGTTTCATCTTGGTTTAGTTAAACTGAACAATAAAACATATATTTGGAATGCTATAATGAGGTAGCTTTGGTTGATATAAATCAGAATATATGTGTGTGTGTATATACATATATATATATATATACACACACACACACACACATATATATATATATATATATATATATATATATATATATATATATATATATATATATATATATATATATATATATATATTACTAAACCACCTGTGCCTTCTTATTTTCTCAACTTTTATTACAGAAAATAAAATGTGATTAATCTGTTACAGCATAAACCCAATCTGTTTTTTTCTACATAAGCAAGAATTTGTACATAAACATATTTTTGTCAATCATTTTTCACAACTTTATTTCTGTATTTGTTTTTACAAACATTTCTATTAAACAAATTTTGCTGCAAACGCCTCTGTGTCCTTTGACCTGATATGAATTATTTTATTTAAATGTTTTTTGACTGAACTATTTTGAACAGGTGTTGTGAATTATACTCCCGCTGTCGTCATCCAGCAACACTGTAACTCTCTGTAAAGCTTCATTTTCTTAACATCTTTAGCAATAAAACATGGAAAACTATTTGAAAAAGAGAACAAAATCCTGTATATTTAAAACAGAACTGCAAACTTGACACTTAAAGGACATTTTACCAAGAAATTTTGAAAATTTAGCACAGAAAATTATATTTAGTACCAGTGGAAAAAATGGTGATGTGGTGATTAACTTACTGGCTTCAGCAGCACACCTTTGTGTCATTCTCTCCACCAACAGGCAGAAAAAGCTTGTGTGGACCATACAAATTTGAGGAATAGGAGAGGAGGATCATAACCTTTGAATGATAAAAACATGTTGTTCTATTCCGTCTAGTCTTTGCCCTTAAGATAGCCGCTATCGGAATAATAGAAGATCTCATCTTAAGTTATTGTGTTAGCTCGCTAACACGTGCAAATATGAAAATGGATTACATTACCTCAACTTTGGTCCACCTCATGACTGTGAGCGACAACCTTCAACATATTAGGTATGTTCCCTTTTATGCCGCTCTCCTTTCAGCTCAAGCTTCCTACCAAGTGGACCTCTTCACCTGCCACCACATCACCCCGACTGGGAACAACGCCCGTATCACTGCAGATGCAGCACCAATCCGCCTATTGATCTCGTGCTCCATCTTTCTCTCACTCGTAAACAAGACTCCAAGGTATTTATCCACTTGGGGCAGGACCTCATCCTGCATTTCTACCCTTTTCCGACTCAAGGCCATGGTCTTAGATTCAGAGGAGCTGATTCTCATGCCAGCTGCTTCACACTCGACTGCTAACCACTCCAGAGAGCCGGAGATCACGTTCTGATGAAGCCAACAGGACCACATCATCTACAAAAGGCAGAGACCTGACCCTTAAGCCACCAAAATGGATCCCCTTAACACCTTGGCTGCGCCTAGAAATCCTGTCCATAAAAGTTATGAACATAAACGATAACAAAGGGCAGAGTCCAACTCTCACCAGAAACAAGCTCGACTTACTGCCAGCAATGCGGACCAAGCTCTGACACCGGTCATGCAGGGACCTAACAGCCCGTATCAGATGACCTGGTACCCCATACTCCCGCAGTACCCCACAGGGCCCTCGGTGGGGGGCGGTTGAATGCCTTCTCCAAATCCACAAAACACAGTTAGATAGGTTGGGCGAACTCCCACGCACCCTCCAGGGGCCCCCTAAGGGTATAGAGCTGGTCCAGTGTTCCACACTGTAAAACCTGCTGAGTTCAACTCAGATCATTTGATGAAACTGATTGCCTACTGAAGGAGAAGATGCTGCCATCACACCATGCACTTGGTCGTCGTGCACTTTTCCAACACACCAATGATCCACAACACACATCTAAAGCAACTGTTGCAGTTCTGAAGAACAGGGTGAAGGTGACTGAACGGCCAATTATGTCTCCTGATCTGAACCCAGTCGAACACCTGTGGGGAATTCTGAAGCAGCAAGTTGAGCATCACTCTGTGTGTGTGTGTGTGTTTTGATTGATTGATTGATTGATTGATTGATTGAATCCTCCTCCCAAGTACCTACTCAGGAACTAATCTGTACCTACTAGGTACTTAACCATTATCTACTGCTTTTGTCTACCTTAAAGTGATGCCTCCTCCCAAGTACCTACTGAGGAACAAATATGTACTTAATACTTAACCTTTACGTTGTTACATGGCCATTTACCATAAACACATTGAGCTTATTTACACATCATTTTCTTTCAACTTGTGTGTGGTAATTTTCCAGTGATGGGTGACCAAAATCACTAACAAAATGTTCAATGTTTAGGGTAGTTTTTTAAATAATCAGAAAAGTACACAAAAATTTACTTTTACATTTATAAAATTTGAAATCAACATGTAAAAATACTCTAAAACTACCTATTCTTCCCTGCTTCAATACTCGGTACCCTTCAAGTCATTCCCTAATAGAAAACTACCTATTAGTCTCTGAATAAGACTGCTGGGTGTTTACCAGTAAGTATTGGCTAACTACCTATTAGACCATGAAACAAGACTGATGAGCGTTTTCACCAGTAACTACTGGTTAACTACCTATTCTTCCCTGCTTCATTACTCATTATTCCAGTCGTTCCCTAGTAATGAAGCACAATTTTGCGTACCTTGTTGTATGTAATGTGTTACCACTTGTTTCAAAATTTGATTAATGATCATTTCAGTATTGCATCATTTGAATTAAGATTATTCAAGCTAAATAAACTCAATTTTTGAATAAACTAATCATGAGACTCTGTTGTTCTGTTTAATAAACAAACCACAAAATTTATTGTTGACAGATAACAGAGACAAATACACACATTATGGCGGTCAAGTTTGAAAATTGGGGTTTACTTACTGTTTACTTTTGAGCTTTGGAACATTTTCTTCCAAAAGGTATGTCAACACGTGACCTTAAGTGCTTTTATTTTGAAAAAAAAAAAAAAAACATGAAAGAAAACCATCACTACCATCAGGAACTTTACTCTAAAATTAGGTAACATGATCTCTTGGAATGTTGACCACGCCTGGGCTTTAACACACACACACACACACACACACACACACACACACACACACGCACGCACACACGCACGCACGCACGCACGCACGCACACACACACACACACACACGTCTTTTGGCCCTCAATGACTTTGTAATGCTGTCTAGCCAAAAACAAAAAGGTCTGACACACAAATGTTTCATTAGACCACCCTTAAGTCATCTGCATCTCTTCTTATCATGATGTGCCCATTACTCTGGATTAGGGTACCTCTGGACTCATCCAAAAAGGTTCAAATGAAGGCGACTGGACTTCTTTGTTTTCTTGAAGTTTTGCTTCTCATCTGATGAGCTTTGTCAATTCTGACTGGAAAACGGGAGGGTCAATCTTATAAGCTGTAGCTGTTTGTTGCATCTTAACGAGCTTAAACTCACTCTGAAAACACCTCCTCTCTACCCCGATGAGTCGTTAGCCTCAATTGTTGAGGGAGTCATGTTGATTTGGGGCAGGAGGGTGTGACCTAGACTGAAACAGGAATATGGTTTAGAGCTGCATTACAGGTGCTGGAAAAGTGCAATCTATCTCGTCCCATATTTATTGTAGGGTTTTCCCGTTTGACATAGATACCGTCCTTCACTTCTCCATCAAACCATCTTCCTCTCTGTCCAGAATGTGTCCAAATGTTTCTAAAACAAGTTCCCTTGAGGGCTGGTCTCCAGCATGTTTTACTGTGTGACAGGCCCTGGTTATTATTAGAAAAAAATAGATGCTAAATTCACTTTGCAGCCAGCAGCAGCTGTCCCACCTAGATTTACTATACTCTGCTGGCAACAAATTTCACAGGATATTATCAAAAACACAATTTAATACATGAAAAGTAATCTTTGTGGGAGATTTTGCATGTCAAATTTTAAATATAAGCGTTTTTAAGAATGTCATACATGTTTAGTTTTTTTCAAGTTTGATTCAAAAGAAAGAAAAATATGGATTTTTATGTTTCTACAGTGTGTTCTATGAAATATTTCAATCAAAATAAAATATTCTATCGTCTATTTTTTATTTATAATATGTTAGACTCTCGTTTTAGGGTTTTTAAAATGTATAAATGCTGAATTAAAACAGAATGTAACAAAGTGCTATGATGCTGTTGGTAGAAACAGCAGGAATCATTCAGTAAACTAGAGCAGAAAACGTTTTTCAGACAAAATGACTTTAATAGATTCCCTCAAACCTAAACTGTCACTTTTTTATTTATCGGCCAAACATAACTCGTCGTACAGGAAGTGAACGGCACGCGCTTTTAACGAGCACCAATCGGATCGTTCCATTGTTCATGTGCTTCTGTTATGGTTCACCTCGGTGATGTGCACATGCGTAGTCAGGAAAAGCGTTTGTTATTATTGTAAATTTAACGTTGAGTTACAGAATTTAGGCATGCTATATAAAGGGCTGATTTTTTAAACCTTTCAGTGCTTTTTCGGAGAAATACTGGGACGCACGCTGGTCGACTGGTTTAAAACCGTTTATTTTCGTATTTCAGTTAGTTGGTTATTTCATTGTTATTTCGCTGTTAGTTATTTTGGTTTTTGTTGTTTTCTTACGATCAGCTGCTTCAATTGTCAGTTCTTCTCACTGGTAAGTTTTCTGTTTTATATTTTATTATACGAAGTTTTTGTTACTAGTCCGTGTTAACTTTTGGCAAAAATGTTAATTGGCAAAACACTCCAAAGCATTAATTCGGCAAATTTTCATTTTTAGCTATCTGTTAGCTAACGACAACCGTTAATTTTCTTATAGCAGTTACAGTTGTTAGTTGGTTATTTCCTTGTTAGTTATTTCGATTTTTGTTGTATTCTCACGATCAGCTGCTTTTGTAGTCAGCTCTTCTCACTGGTTAGTTTTTTTTTAAATATTTTATTTATCACATACGAAGTTTGTTGCTAGTCCTAAGTGTTAAATTTTGGCAAAAATGTTATTTGGCAAAACACTCCAAAGCATTAATTCGTCAAATTTTCATTTTGAGCTATATAAAGGTCTGATTTTTTAAACAATTCCGAGTTTTTTCGGAGAAATACTGGGACACCGCTGGTTGACTGGTCTGTTAGCTAACGAAAACCGTTAATTTTCTTATAGCAGTTGTTGGTTGTCAGTTGGTTGGTTGAGCGTTATAAAGGTCTGATTTTTTAACAATTCAGTGCTTTATTATTATAAACAATTAAATTATTAAATTCTGGGACGCACGCTGGACTAGCGATCTAATGACACCCGTTTTTATTTTTCTTATAGCAGTTGTTAGTTGTTGGTTATTGGTTATTTGGTTATTATTTGGGCATTTTTTCAACAACTTTCATATCATTTCTGCATGATGAGCTGATGTTTGTGCAATTTTCAAAACAAAATGCATGTGTTACTTTTCCCTAATGTGACTGTGTTGGTGTGCGTGTTCTAAATGTGTGATGCTAGTTGCTGCTGTTTGCTGCTGATGGAGGGGAAACAGGGGAAATTGTTTAACATTTAAAAATTTGACATTGAAACTTCTACTTTTGCATGCTGATTCATTTGAATTTTAAAAGTGTTCAATTTGTGCAAAAATGTAATTTGGTAAAACACTCCAAAACATTAATTGGGCATTTTTTCATTTAGATTAAAAGCAAAACTGTGTTTTAGTGTTTTTGGTGTCAAAGCAAAAGCAAAAAAAAAAAATAATAATAATAAAATAAAAAATAAAATAAAAAAAAAATAAAAAAAAACATTGTTTTTGTTTGACAACATTGTTGCCTTATTTGGCATTTCTGGTTGTTAGGATACCAAAAGCATCAACTTCCATATCATTTCTGCATGATGAGCTGATGTTTGTGCAATTTTCAAAACAAAATGTATGTGTTACTTTTCCCTAATGTGACTGTGTTGGCGTTTTTTAAATGTGTGATGCTTGTTGCTGCTGTTTGCTGCTGATGGAGGGGAACATGTCCTTGGAATTGTTTAAAGAGCAAGTCACCGCCTACTAGAGTATAACTCCGCTCCTACTTCCTGTTTGAAAAATACAACAAATGCTGTTGCCTAGCAGACCGAGAGGGTGGAGCCGCTAACAACACACACACACACACACACACACACACACACACACACACACACACACACACACACACACACACACACACACACACACACACACACACACACACACACACACACACACACACACACAGAGTCAAATGCAGTGCAGTTTTTACCTGACAACGGCACAACACTGACAGTTTTAGATGGAAATTTTAAATTTGAACTAAAATGCACTAAAGTGCAAAACCATTGACTACACGTCCTTTACAATGTTCATTATGTCCTCTTTTTAAATATTAAACGAGGTTATTTTAGCTTCGGACATGAAGGTGTCTCTAGTTACCTTTACATGTTTCGACCGTCGTCTGCGGTCTTCATCAGAAATGTCACAGGTGTTTGTGTGACACGTCTTTATCAGCTGTTCTTCTGGTGGGTGCGACCAACCCGGATCTGACAGATCTGCCGGGTCGGTCACGCCCACCTCTGCTGGCTGGTCTTTGGAGAAGGGAATCCCAGGTGTGAGACAGCTGATAGGCCCCCTCATCTCTGTTCCTGTTCCAATGTTCACGTTTCCTTATTTCTATTGCCTCCCTGATCCAACGTTTGAACCAGTTGTTCTCCGTGTTGATAATTTCCCTTGATCCCAGTCTATGATGTGATTATTTTGTTTGCAATGATCTGAGATGGCTGACCTGAGGGTTTGCTCCTCTGCTTTTTCCTTTGTTGACCTTGTGAGTCTTTCTGTTGTTTCCTTCTCACATTCCTTCTGGTGCTCTTTTCTTCTTATGTCATATGTTCTGCCGGTTTCCCCTATGTATGTTTTATAGCTCGACATGCATGGTATTTCATAGATTACATTGCATTTCTTGTCTGGTTCTATTTTGTTCTTGGGGTGTACTAGTAGCTGTCTGAGTTTCATGTGAGGTTTGACGGTTGTGTTGATTTGTTGTTTTTTCATGGCCCTTTGTATACATTCTGTGACTCCCTGGATATATGGAATTGTGATGGTGTCTGTGTGCGTGTGGTCTGGTCTTTGTTTTTGTTTACTTTTTTTGGTCTCTCTGTTTATTGATTTTCTTTGAATTGTTGTTTTCCGTTTTCTATGGCCCATATTGGATACTGACAGAGGGTTAGTATATATATATATATATATATATATATATATATATATATATATATATATATATATATATATATATATGTGTGTGTGTGTGTGTGTGTGTGTGTGTGTGTGTGTGTGTGTTATTTTGCAGAGGAGGTGGAGTAGTCAGGGATTGTACTCAGATAGCAATACTTGATAAGAATTTTACTAAAGTAAAACTAAAAGTACAATGCAGCAGAACTACTAGCAGTACAATTATTATCTGGCTTTACTTTTGAGTATCACAATAATCCCCTATAGAGGATACTGGAGTATTTACTTAGAACACA